CGTTTCAGAAAGGCGGGGCATAGAGGAGAAACAATAATGTACAGTATGTGGAAAATAATGTGTTTTTTGAACCTAAACCGCATAAACACATTTCACTACACCAAATACACAAAATAATGTTCTTTTTAGCAACATCATATGACCCCTTTAATTAAGTTAGCCGGGTGCGTCGGAGCTTCGTCTCACTGACAGCTCTGACAGTGAAATATTATTCTAGGAAACGGCTTCCACTTATAGTTCTGGAAGAGAGGCGAGTGCTTCACAGAGGAGACCCGAAACACGCTCGAAAAAACGCTGTGCAACGCAATGCAAATGTGATTTGCAGTTTCAGAAACGTGGCAAGCGCGAACGGTCGCCTTCTACGACTCATTTTCAAGTCAACCTAGTTAAAGGGAATAGTTCACCCTAAAATGAAAATTTGCTGAGTGTTTACTCACCCTCAAGCCATCCAAGATGAGTTTGTTTTTAAATGTATAGCATTCTATCACTTGTTCACCAATGGATGCTCAGCAGTGAATGGGTGCCGTCAGAATGAGAGTCCAAACAGCTGATAAATCATCACAATAATCCACAAGTAATCCACACCACTCCAGTCCATCAGTTAATGACTTGAGAAGCCAAAAGCTGCGTGTTTGTAAGAAACAAATCCATCAATTAGACGTTTTAACGTCAAAATGGCTAAAATATGAATCCTCTATCCATAATAACACTTCCTCCAGTGAAAAAGTCATCTTGTCTGAATCAGGAGAGAAATCTGCACAGCACCGTATACAAGCAAAAAACAGTCCTAAACAGTTCTTAATAAATATGTGTGTGGATTTTGATCTGAGAGACAGCAGGAGATGGACTTTTTCCACTGGAGGAAGCGTTATTATGGATCATGGACTCTGATCATATTTTGGCCAGAAGCAACGGTTTGAAGTTAAAATGCATTAATGATGGATTTGTTTCTTATAAACACGCATTTCTCTTCAGAAGATGTTAACTGATGTACTGGAGTGCTGTGGATTACTTGTGGATTATTGTGATGTTTTTATCAGCTGTTTGGACTCTCATTCTGACGGCACCCATTCACTGCAGAGCATCCATTGCTGAGCAAGTGATGGAATGCTACATTTCTCCAAATCTGATGAAGAAACAAACTCATCTACATCTTGGATGGCCTTAGGGTGAGTACATTTTCATTTTTGGGTGAACTATTCCTTTAAAATAACCACAAAATCCCTAAAACACACCACACTAAGCAAAGACAAAGATGCAATGTTCATTTGAAGTGGAATGTATATTTCAAAGGTATGAAAGTGGCATTCGCATCAGCTCAGGGAACGACGGCGTTCCATCAACAAAACACCATTTTCACACAAGCAAACTTCAGCTCGATCACACGCAGGACTCGACAGCAGAGCATCGGGACATTTCTGATGAATCCACAACATCCAGTCGACATCCCTCGCCATGCATTTGACTTAGAAAAGATTTATGCAACACAATATTGATCAGATCATCGTGCTCAGTCAGGATAGAGACCACAATTAATACGGTGGAAATAAAAACGGGACTTTTCCAGCATTCTTCCCATTTCTTCAAGTCTTGTTTTCATTGCATCACGTATGGATCAACAATTGCAATGATGTATGAAAGTGGCATTCGCATCAGCTCAGGGAACGACGGCGTTCCATCAACAAAACACCATTTTCACACAAGCAAACTTCAGCTCGATCACACGCAGGACTCGACAGCAGAGCATCGGGACATTTCTGATGAATCCACAACATCCAGTCGACATCCCTCGCCATGCATTTGACTTAGAAAAGATTTATGCAACACAATATTGATCAGATCATCGTGCTCAGTCAGGATAGAGACCACAATTAATACGGTGGAAATAAAAACGGGACTTTTCCAGCATTCTTCCCATTTCTGCACAAAGTCTTGTTTTCATTGCATCACGTATGGATCAACAATTGCAATGACTGAACCTCAACAAAACTGTCAACATGATGTAGGCTAGATGCACCCAATAAAATGTTTTGACATTCTTTGGTTTGAATAACAACAAAAAGCAGTTGGTCAAATGTGAATCGTCCATCCAAACCAGTTACACAAACAAAAAAATTAAAATCAAAAGCTTATTCTGAGATTCTGAAATGCATCAAGTGTACTTTAAAAAAACATAACCCAACATTCAGATATGCAAATGACCAGTTACAAAAAATATGTACAAATAAATACATAATCGGATGCAGATTTCATGGCCACATTCAACGCTGTGCATCTCCAGTGAGCGACTCTGTGAATGAATGGTGGTGGATCTGTCAGGATCACTGGCTTTCAGGAGAGTCTGCAGTTTTCCAGTGTCACTGAGTCTCTTCAAAATCCCTGACCACGCGCATGCAGACTGCGATCTGGACCGGAACAGATTGGCCTTTCAGGTCTCCTGGAAGATATCGATTGCATGTCTGGAGCCGCACAAAACTGACAAATGCAACTGCACTGAAATGGAAAGTGATGGTGGCATTTCTGTCCGAGCCAGACGAACGATGACGCACTGAAGGCATTTCACATTCACAACCCATGAACATGTAAGGGAGACTGGGGCGAGTTGTCACACCTTTTACTCCAGTGTTTTTTCAATCAGCTGATGAATACAGACTCTATGTCATTGCTACAAAAATCATATGAACATGTACACCATTCCTGTCTAGAAAATACAGTTCATTGAACGCATAAAGTGGGGCATGTTGTCACAATGGGAACATTCTTTTTGTTGTTTGGGGGGGGTTCTCTTGCCCTGAAAGGATGGTTTCAAATCTACCTTCATTAGGAGTTAATTGGGACATTTTTCCCAGTCCTCTCAATGGCAAAAGTGTCCCAATTTACCTGAAAACAAACCTATATATTTGACTCTTACCTTGTAAAAAAAAATGTGGCCCTGGTCCACAAAACCAATTTTTTTGTAATTGAGATTTATACATCATCTGAAAGCTGCATAAATAAGCTTCCCATTGGTTTGTTAGGATAGGACAATATTTGGGCGAGATACAACTATTTGAAAATCTGGAATCTGAGGGTGCAAAAAAATCTAAACACTGATAAAATCGCATTTAATGAAGTCCAAATGAAGTTCTAAGCAATGCATATTACTAATCAAAAATGTAGTTTTAATATATTTACGGTAGGAAATTTACAAAATATCTTAATAGAAAATGATCTTTATGTAATATCCTAGTGATTTTTGGCATAAAAGAAAAATCGATCATTTTAACCCATACAGTGTAGCTATTGCTACAAATATACCTGTGCAACTTATGACTGGTTTTGTGCTCCAGGGTCACAAATCCCATTGTGGTTTCACAGTTCACCAAACGCCTATTACCCCAAAATAAATCTCTCATTTGGAGGGCAGAATTCAGAATCTGCTTTGTACTACATGTTTGAAAGTAACACACACAGCGCCACTGCGTTCATGCAAACGGATTTTCCACTCTGAACGTCACTGTGACAACTTGCCCCGGCCCCCCGTGCAGCCTCTGAGGAGATATTCCCGGTGCTAATTCAGCCGTGATGTCTTTCAATGCACGAAGAGCGTCCGTGCGCGCAAGGTGACACTAAAAAGAGATGTCCGTAATGCGCATCCAGCGCTTTTTACGCGCGGTAACGTCCGTCGATATCGCCGCTCTCCGGCGTCCTACTGCGCGTTTCGGAGCATCTTCTGCGCGGAGACCACGAGCAGCTGCTGCTTCTGCCGGCTGGACTTGACGGCCAGGATCGCCTGGCGGTTCTTGTACTGGACCATCTGCAGCGTGATCTCCGCGTTCCAGCCCTCGTCCTGCGGGCACCTGAAGTCGATCTCTCGGCCCTCGGACATCACCACCGTGAAGTACACGTACTTGGCCTTGCGCTCCACGCAGTCCACCGTCTTCATGTTGGCGAAGTGCAGCTCCTTCGCCTTGCAGGCGGTGTCGTGGTGGTGGTGTCTGGGTGGGTGAAGCACCAGTCCTTCCTCGGTCAGCACGCAGCGCTTCTTCTTCCACAGCTGCAGCAGACCGTCGCTGCGCTTCTCCAGCGCGCCCTCCTTCAGCACCGCGCCGCCGCCGGACTCCAGCATCGCCTCCGATCGCGCATCAAACGCTCCGGGTTTTGGACTGAGGGTGGGTAGGTTTGAGCCGATGGATGGATGGATAGATGGAGGTCTGCGAGGAGTGTGATGATCGGGACGGAGCGCGCACGGGGGTTTTCTCTCACGCGCGGACCGCCCACTGC